ACGTATCCTAAAATGTTGTTGACGTCATCATCGTCGCCATCTTTGTTTTTATCAGTTATTATCTTCCATTCCAATTGAAGGCTGTCACTCGTCGAGCTTACGACAGATAATTTCGGTCTTTCCGGTGGAACTAAATTAATTAATTAATTATTATTACGTAATTCTATCACAACCCCCCCCCCCATAATAATAATAATAATTTAAAAATGAAATTATTTTAACACCTTCGATAATTAAATTATATATGATTTCATCTTTTCCATAAACGTTTTCCACGGAACACGAATAATTTCCTTCGTCCATTTTTTGTACGTCTTTTATAATTAACGAACCATCATTTTGTACCTGCGAAATAAATTATCATTATTATTATTAAATAGTATTTTTTAAATAGTAGAAAAGTTATACCTGAATTCTCGAATTTGTATTTTTTATTTGCGTGGATTTAAATTTCCATATTAAATTAGGATTTGGTATTCCGACATTTAAACAAGTCAAATTTAATTTTTCCTTCCATGGAGTTATAACGTTTTTATTAAATGACATTATTTTTGCTGGAACTGGAAATGTTATAAATCCTTGCAATTTTTTTCTGGTCGTAAAAGTTAACATTGAATGATTAAAAAAAAAAAAAAAAAGAAAAATTTACTTTCGTTCGATGGATATATTGTAACAGTTGTTGACCTTTGACTTTCTCCTATTTTTGTCGATGCCGTAACCCAAAATTTATAAATTCCTTTTTTTTGATTTCGAACCGTTTCGTAAATTTCAATTCCCGGATTTAAAATTTCCTTACGAATTTTTTCCTAAAAATATTTTTTTTTTTTTCTTTTTTTTTGTCAAAACAATTAATAATTTTTTTTTGTTGATATGAGAGAGAGAGAGAGAGAGAGAGATGAAATAAAAAAAAAAACTTTATATATAAGTACGTGTACACATACCTCTTTATTATTATTATTATTATTATTTATTAAAGTCATGTAAATCGTGTATGAAATGATAATACCATTTTTATATAAAGGCGGAAGCCATGTTACTAAAATGTTATCAAAAGAACTTAATGCGGCTTTTATATCTTTCGGAGAAGATGGAACTAAAAAATTTTTTTTTTATTTATTTTTTATTTTAATAAATAAAATTTAATTAATTATTATTTTTTTACTACTACTCACCATCTTCATCGGTTTTACAAAAAATTTTATCACTTTTAATACCATCTCCAGCAGAAGTAAATGCCAATAATGTAAAACTGTGATTTGAATATTTTGACAAACCGGAAATGACGGTTTTTGTTAATTTTGTTATTTTAATTTCTTCTTCGTCTTCTTCTACTTCCGTTTTTTTTTCTTTTCGATCTATCAAATTTTAATTTTAAATTATAATTTCGCTCAATTTTTTTAAAATAAATTTTATTATTATTATTATTATTAACTTACATAATCGTTTATTCGACACGACTTTATAAAAAATTTTATATCCTAATAAAATCCCATTTTGTTTATTTGAATTCGGGGGATCCCATGAAATTTCAATACTTTGAGATGATAATGTTTTACATATGATGTTTTCCGGTGAAGAACTTGGAACTTTAATTAATAATAATAATAATAATAAAACTTCTTATTTATTTACTTATAATTTATTATTATTTATATAATTACCATCTTCTTTCGTTCTTATTAAAATAGGTTCGGATGCTGGACCTGATCCTTTACTATTAAACGCTTGCACGATTATTGAATACGTCGTGTATTTATTTAATTTTTCTAAAATTATTTCCTCTTCGAATTCTGATATTTTATCAACCGTTTTAAAATTATAATTGTTTATGTATTTAGAAGAAGAGTTTAAAATCGATGTGGTCACGTGATAAAGTAAATTTTCTTTATAACCGACGTAATAACCGAGTAAATTTCCATTCCACGTGTTTTTAGGTGGAGAATCCCAGGAAACTTTTATTTCCGTAGAACTTTCTGCATTTCCTTTAACGTTTAACGGTGGTCCATCGGGAACTTGAAAAATATTATCAAAAGATTTTATTATTATTATTATTATTATTAGGTATATATCATCATCATCGTCATACCTTCTTCTTGTGTTATGACTTGAATAAATTCACTGGGTTCACTTTTTCCTAATGGATTTTCCGCAATGACTCGTACGTGATAAGATGTGAAAGGTTTTAAATTTTTCAATGTGGTAAAAGTTTCACTTCCGGTCACGATTATATTATTTGAATTTTTTTCCCAATTTTCGTTTGATTTTTTATATTCAATTATGTAATTTGTTATTTGACTATTTCCGGCATAAGGTTGAGTCCAAGAAATTTGAAGGGATCGACTTTGTTTATCGTTAATTCTAATATTTTTTGGAATTTCTGGATTTTCTAAAATTTTTAAAATTCATTTTTTAGAAAAAAAAATAAAATAAAATGAGGGGAAAGGAAAGTGAAAGAAAGAAAGAAGAAGAAGAAAAACCTTGTACGATTAATTGAATTTTCATTTCATCACGTCCGAATGAATTTGTTGCGTAACATGTAAATATCCCCGTGTCGTGCCTGTACGTTTTTGGTATGCTTATTTCAGAAACTAAACCGTCCGTTAATATTTGTTTATTTATAATATATCTATTAAAATAATATATATATTATGATAAATAGGAAAAATTAAAATGAAAAATATTTTTGGAGAATACGTACCTGGAATGTTTATTTTCTTGTATTTTTTGTCCTTTTATTCTCCATTCGATTTCAATCGGCGTTTCTCCAATTGCTGGACATTGCATGTGAGCCTCTTTACCTTGAATAACTTGAATTTGTTTAAATTTTTGCGGAAAATAAACTGGAACTTTAAAAAAAAAAAAAAAAATTTATTAAAGACATGTAATCAATTATTATTATTATTATTATTAATGAGGAAAATCCCTGATTACCGTTGACTTTTAAATAAATTAATTTACTGAGACCGGAACCGACTTCGTTTTTTAATTCGCACAAATAATGTCCTTGATTTTCTTTAAAAATTTTTGAAAATTTTAAAGAACCGTTTGGATAAATACTAATATTCGAATCGTATAAAAAATCTTTATATTCTCCTAAAAATTCGCCTAAAAAATTACAAACGTTTACGTAAAAGACTAAAAGAAAAAAAAAAAAGAAAAAAATTTAAATTATATAAAGAAACCCGTTGATTTTTTCCACGTCGTTGTTGGAGTCGGATATCCGTTTCCTTGACAATTTAATATCAATTCTTGACCGGAAGTAACGTTTGTATCTACCGGTTCTATTTTCCATTTTGGAGGTACTATTTAGAGAAAAAAAAATCACGGTAAATTTCGAAAAAATTATATCACTTTTGAATTTATTTTTTTTATTGCTAACCCTTAACAGTTAGAGATACAGTTAAAGATTCTTCTCCAGCAACATTTTGAGCGAAACAAGTATAATTTCCGGCATTATCTGTACTTATATTATCGATAACAATTAGGGAAGAATATTCATCGACTCTTCGAATCTGTAATTTTTCGTCAGCGATTAGTAAACCGTTTTTTTCCCAACGAAATTTAAATGGTAGATCACCCTCAATTATTTGACACGTGATTGCAGCTCTCATTCCTTCTCGTAGTGTTATATCTTGAGTTAAAAGAATTTTTGGGGGCACTAAAAATTAAATAAATTTAAAAAAAAAAAAAAATGGATGAATGAAATTCATTTAAAAAATTATGGAATAAAAAAAAAAAAATAATTTGAACCCATTATGTGTATTTCGACGTTTCTTCTTGCCGTAGCTCTTTGATTATTTTTAGCTTGACACGTGTAGGTACCACCGTCGAATTCTTTTTGTAGATTTTCAATAATTAAGGTACCATTACTGTAAACTTTTTGACGTCGGTTAATCGGTAGGTATACACCCCCTGCAACAGAAAATAAATACCAGATTTTACCTTTTTTTTTTTGTTTAATCGATTCGGTTTAAAAAAAAAAAAAAAAAAAACAGGTACCTTGTTCCCATGAAATCGATTCAATCGGATATCCGGCAACCGGACATTTAATGATAAAATTTTTTCCCGCGATGGCATTTATTTTTGGCATGGATCGAATGAACGGTTTTCCATAAATATTGATTTTAGCCGCGTGAGAAATTTCAGAAACGGAATTTTTAGCCGTACATTTATATTCGCCGCCATCTTCTTCTTCGGTTCTTGTTATGTTTAAATGAGTTATTACGTTATCACTTGTTGTTATGTACTGTCCAACTATAAATCTTTTAAAAAACCGTTAACTTTTGTTATCATTTTTTACAGAAAAAAAAAATAAAAGTATACCTGCTGCTATCAGGTACCGGAAATCCATCCAAAGACCATGAAAAATGAGGTGGAGGACTACCCGTTGCGCTACATTTTAACGAAATCGAAGACCCAGGTTGTAATGTTTTTTCCGAAAACCAACTTATGAGTTCAGGACTGGTATCTAAAAACAAAAAAAAAAAAAAAATGAATACGGAAAAAAAATGGAAAAAGGAAAATTCTTACCTCCGAGTTGAATTTCAGCTGCTGATTGTACCATTTCCCATTCGTTACTAACAAAACATTGATACATTCCACGATCTTGTTTTTCAACTGGTTTTATATAAAGTTTATCAAAATTTTCTTTAAATTTATGCCTTTTGCTTTTAGTTAAAAGCTTTCCATCGTGAAACCATGAAATTTGAGACAAAGGAAAACCTCCAATAACGCATTCAAACACGGCCTCATTATTCACATCAACAATTTGTATTTGAGGTTGTATATGAACCGAAAGCGGAGCTTAAAACAAAAAAAATTTCCCGATTCCATTCAAAATAATAATAATAAACAAAGTAACATAATAATAATAATAATAAATTTTCCAAAAACCTGTCACAACCAAATTGATTTGAACGGAATCTTTTCCAGCTGAATTGTTAGCCATACAAACATATTTTCCTTTGTCATCTAATTTAATTTTAGAAATAAGTAAAAGTCCTGGAGCGAGTTCATTAATACGTTCGTTAAATATCAGGGGTAAAAATTGTTCCTTTTCGTTTTTAAACCATCTTTGAAAAAATAATAATAATAATAATAATAATAATCATTTATTTAATAATGTCAAGAATAAAATAATAATAATAATAATAACTTATAATCTGGTGTTGGAAATCCTTGTGCTATGCAAGAAAAAATAACATCTTCACCAATTTTCGAATATTTAGTCGAATGCCTTTGAACCGAAATTCTCGGCTGAACATTTTCATTGATTTCTAACAAACAAACAAAAAGGAAAAAAATTTTTTATTTTCCCGAATTAAAATTTAATTAATTTATTATAATTAATTCAAAAATCACCTGTAACAATTAAATGTGCTGGATAATAACTCGATTGAATTTTTCCAGTGAGTTTATTAACCGTTCTACAAGAATAACTTTTATATCCGTCCTCGTGATCGACATTAAACACATAAAGTTCTCCAGTTTTAAAAACTGTATATTTACCTTATGGAAAACAAAAATATTAATAATAATAATGGTAAATTTATTTTTTTCGTTGACTCGTTTCCGTTTAAACAAAAAAATCGTAATGATAATAATAATAATAATAATATATAAAGTTTAAAACAATTTTTAAAAAAAATTTAATAAAGTTTTATTTATTTTATTATTATTATTATTATTATTAATTTGTATTCTTAATAAGGAAATTAAAAAAAAAAAGTAAGTAAGTAAAATTAAAAATTCTATAACGGAAAAACGATAATAATGATAAAATACACTTACATTATTATATAAAAAAGAAAATCATAAGAAAATTGAATTAATTTTAATTAAAATTCCATAAAAAAAAAAAAAAAAAAAATTTTCCTTATTATTATTATTATTATTATTTTAATTTTACAGAAAAAACGGTTTTCGGTTTATTTTTTTTTTGCTGAGGGAAAAGAAAAAATGTTTTTATCGTTTTTTTTTTTTTGCTAAAATTAATAATTGAAATAATTGAAATAAAAAATTTGATTTTAATAAATTTACATAAAGTAGTAGTAGTAGTGGTGTCAAAAATATATAAATGAGATTAATAAAGGGGGGAGGGGTGAGGAGGGGGAGAAAAAGGGGAGAGAAAACAAATATTAAATAATTACAAGGGGAGGAAAATAAAATAAAAACCTTTTTTTAAATTTTTTTTTTTTTTATATACGTTAACTTGAATTTCCATAAAACGGAAACGGAAACGGTTGTAAAAATAATATAAATTCTTTAAATTTGTTGTATTTATCTATGTACATAATACATATATATTAATATATTTATATTATTAAAAATATATGGATTTATTTAATGTGAAAAAACACGACACGAAAAAAAAAATCAAGGAAAATTTTTTTTTATGTTTAACTTATGGTAATTAAATTAAAAAGTTTTCTTTTAGCAATTTTTTTCTTTTTTTTTTATTCCTTTTAACTTTTTTTTTACCTTATTAATAATAATTATTATTAAACCTTTTTTTTCCTTTTTTTCCTTTTCCTTCTCCTTTTTTTTTGTAAAAGAAAATACGTGACCGATAAAAAAAAAAAGAAAAACCGGAAACAATTGAATTCGTTTGAATTTTATTTATATTAAAAAAAAAGAAAATTCGTTACAATTTAATTATTTTTTTTTTGTTATGTAAATCTTATTATTAATTTTTAATTAATAGAAAATGGGGGCGGAGGGGCAGGTGGGGGAAGGGGAAATAATAATAATAATAATAATAATTCGACGTTAATTAATTATAAATGTCGGTTTAAAACCGACGTGTTAGAATAAAAAACATTAGCAAAATGAAAAAAAAAAAAAAAAACAATTTATAAGAAGATTTTCCAGCATTTATAAAACCCTCACATCCTCACCACTCGACGCGTTTTAATGTAAATAATAATAATAATAATAATGATAATGATACTAATAATATCACATGAGAAAAAATTAAATTAAAAAAATTTTTTTTTTTTTGCTAAAGGAGGGATCAATTGAAAATCCGTTATGAAAATTGAAAAGTTTTAATTTATGTCGTTTATGGAATGAATAAACCGAATTAATTATAATAATAATAATGATAATAATGATAGGGGGGAGGGGAAATGTATTTTTTTTTGTATAAAACAAGTCAAGAACAAAAAAAAAAAAAAAAGAATTTCGAGAATAAGAAAAGAAAGAAAAGAAAAGAAAACTGAGTAATTAGCCTCGATTATCTCGTTTAACATCTTTTTTTTTAAGGTTTAAAAGGTTATCCAACAAATAAATAAGGTTCATCCTGTAGGATAAAAATTTTTTTTCCTCCCCCCCTTTTTTTTTCTTTTTATTTTTATTTTTAATTAGACTTTTATAAAAGTAAATTTTTTTTTTTCCTTTTCGTTTATTTGGTCTTTTTTTTTTTCATTTTATTTCGTTAAAACTTTTTTTTTCTTTTTTTTTTTTTTATCCAACGTATGGACTAAAACGGTTTTAATTAATTAAAACTTTTTTTTTTTCTGATTTGATTTTATTATAACCATTAAATTTTTTTTTTATTAACTTTTTTTAAAAAAAAAAAGAATAAATTATTTCGTTCGATTTTTTTTTTTATTGCTGACAATCGTTTAAATTAATTTAAAAAGGGGGGGAGGGGAAAGGGGAGGGGAGAGGGCGGAAGGGATATGAATTTATACGAAAACGCGTATTTCTAATATATCTTTATTAAGAAAAATTTGTTAAATAATAATAATAATAATAATAATTACCTGTATTCGTAGTTGGATATATATTAACGTTATCATTTTGTAACCAAGATGTGACCATAACGTATTCTGATAAATAATTTGGTACTTTACATTGTAGAATTCCAGTATTACCACTGATGACGTGTTCGTCATATATTTTGACGTCATAATTTTCATCCCCAACTAGAAAAAAAAATAAATAAATAAATAAATGAATAAATGATTTTTTTTTTTTATTGCGAATCACGTAAAAAAATTTTTTTTATTGAATTTTTTATTTTTTATTTTTATTTAAAAAAAAAAAAAAGAGAAAAAGTTTTTAGTTGTTAAAATACCTAAATAAAACTTTTTTTTTTTCGTACGAGATCATAAAAAAAATTTTCTAAAATCCTTCCCTTCTCCTCCCCCCCCCAAAAAAAAATAAACGTGATAAAAATTTTTTATTTTTACTTATTTTACTGTAGTAAATTCTTTTTTTTATAAAAATGAAAAGATAATTATTATTATTATTATTAATATTTTATTGAAATTTATTGTTGTAGCTTTTAAAAAATTAAATTTCAATTTTTTTTTAATTAAATCAATTAGTTTGTCACGGTCGTATGTTTATTTATTTTGTTTATCGTGGGAATAGACAATTAATTAAAATGAGATAACTTATCAACGGCTCGTTGGTCTAGGGGTATGATTCTCGCTTTGGGTGCGAGAGGTCCCGGGTTCAAATCCCGGACGAGCCCGAATTTCTTTTTTTTTTTTTATTATTATTCAAATTTTATAATGAAAAAATTAAAAAAAAAAAAAAATATAAATAAATTTATCAAACTACTACTTTCGTATTCATTTTTATTTTTTTATTTTTGTTACCGTAGAAAAAAAATTACAGGTAATAAATACGTAAAAATATTCAAACTTTTATTATTGAAGATCTAAACGGAAACTGTCATATTTTGAATTTAAATCATTTTTTTTTTTTTTTTTTAAAGAAAAGTTACCAATAAAAAATTTATTAGTTTAACAAATTTAAAAGATTCTATAAACAGGGAAATCCCTTTTTATTGAATTCATTTTGATTTCATTAAAAATAAATTTAATGTAAAATTAATAATTAAATAACCCACTGAGAAGAACATTTCAACACAGATATATACAATCATCATCGAACGTTCGTCCCATCGAAATGAAATCGTAAAAAAAAAAAAATTTATGATTTTCGCCTGCGTGTTGCCAAATATTTTACAAATGGCTACTAAATACATTTTTCACTTGTACAATATTTTATGTATATATGTATCATATATTGAGTGAAGGTAACCTACTTTCACTTCAGGTACCGAGAAATTGAGTGAAATGATTCAATTTCTTCAGGTACAACTGGCTCGTTGGTCTAGGGGTATGATTCTCGCTTTGGGTGCGAGAGGTCCCGGGTTCAAATCCCGGACGAGCCCGAATTTCTTTTTTTTTTTGTTTATTATCAATTTATTCCACGTCATAAATTTCACGACAACAACCAAAAAAAAAAAAAAACAAGAAGAAAAAAGAAAATTTTTATTTATCATTTGATTGATTTTGATAAAGAACAAAACAAAATGCATTATTTATTTT